AAGGCATCTTGGGCACGGCCCTTCAGATGCGCGTGGAGTGGCACGATATCCACTGGACGAAGACTGTGGGATTAGCAATTATTCGTCGGATCTTGTAGATAACATCGGATCTCCAAAAGGGTGGAAAGTGAGGATGTCACTGGATGACGCGGAGTGCGTGTTCACCCAGGTCTCACCGAGACATAGAACCTCTGTACAGAGGCGACGGCGACGCCGTATGGTGGCTGCAAGACGCCGGGCGTTGACCCTGATCCAGGGTATATCTACCGTAGACGATGGTGCACAGTTATACACCCTCGTCAACGGTATGACGGGGGGTAGAGATAGAAACGTCCGCCTTTAGGCTATGCTTGCAGTAGCTGCTCTTATTGAGCTGGACGATACCATCCTTTGGTTAAGGAATTTCAAGACGTCGTCTTCAAAGACCCGTCTTCGGTCCAACATCCGGACCGAGGTGTGCGTCATGAGATCGACTTGGTTCCGGAAACCAGGTCGGGAATGGTACGTGAGGGAGCAAGTCTCCCCATTCGACACCCACGTTTTGTGTTCAGAAGCCGAACGGCAAGTGGCTGATCGTTCATGCTTTCAATAAGCTCAACGCTACCATCATTCCGGCACAAACGCCAATTCCTAGAAAAGATGTTCTTCAGAACAACATGGTGGGATGTACGTAGTACAGTCACTCTGGTAGATGGATATTACCAATTGCTCATGAGAGCGAGTGACATTCCGCTGACAACGGTAAGCACTTCAAGCGGCATGCTCCGAAAGTGGCTGGTGATGCTTCAAGGGCTGTCAAATGCACCAGCAACATTCAATCTTCTTGTGACGCAGTTGTTCAGGCTCCACAGGGCTTATGCACAGACATCCTTTGATGACATTTCGTTCACAGTCGTGCGGAGCACGGGAGGACAGATGAGGAGTACCACATCGTTCATCTAAGAGCGGTGCTCGACCGCATGCACACTAACAAACTGTAACCCAAATCAGACAAGTGCATCTTTGGCGCAGAAGAGGTTTCCTTTTTAGGGTGCTTCATTGGGAAGTGTGGCCTTCGTGCGGATCTTTAAGTCAAGGCCTTTGTAAATTGGCCGCTTCAGAAGGAATTGCGTAAGTGGCTTGGTCTTGCCAAGTACTTGACCAAGTACAGCGTAAATTACGCAGAAATCGCCCGGTCATTATCCACTCTCCTTAAAAGGATGCGGAATAATGTTGGAACAACAAACATCAGGAGGCTTTTGACAGGGTCAAAGACAGCCTCCTGCATGCACCAACACTGGCGCTGCCAGACCCTGACCGTCCTTTCAGCGTCGTCTGTGACGCTTCGGACTTCACCATT